AATTAGTAAGAATAACTTTATTTCAGAAGATTTGAAGATGCGGAAGCGAATAACTGCTAATTGATGCGTTAAATGAGAAGGGCGAGAAAGAGAAAGTACTCGAGCCTGGAAGTCCCAAGAACGAAAAATGTACTCTTCTAGTCTTAACTGATTTTACCCTTTTTACCAATTACCGTTTCCATGCATGTAACTTTCCATCTCTGATGAGGGAATAGTACTTACGAGAGGGTGGTAATTGAGCTGATTTGCACGGAACGGTGCGGCGTGCCTCACAACCAAGCCGGTCGTTCCACGCTCACTGAAAGTCGCTGGAAGGTTGCTATCGGAGGGCTGCGTGTGGAGGTCTCCGCAGGGGGATGCTTATCGGGTTCCGCCTCGTCCCGCGGGATGCGATGGAGGGCGACCGCGGGCCACTCGGTGCGATCCGCTGCAGCGCGCGGCTTCCAATGGAGCGAGGTGAATCGGCGCAGGGATGCTGGATGCGGCTTTCCGATCGACCGTGTGTCACGCGTCCTATCCGAATTTTCAGTAATGAAATTGATTCTGCTGCATTCATGTTAAGTTAAGAATTCAAGCGGATTTAAAGCTTTTCCTCCTTTTAACAAGAATCGTCAATTTCTCACGGTACGGCTCTTGTCTTTTTTTCTTCGAGGACCACAATAGCTCACACCCACAAGGAAGTGAGACAATGTGGCTAATAAATGCACCATTCGAAGAAATTATTGAGCGCTTTCCCCCGCGCTTGAGTGGATACTGCTCTTCGTTGATTCCTCAGAATTCCCTGCACCGACCACGACGATTTCCTTTTGTTTGGAAGGTTTTTTTTAAATGTGGAATGGCGTGTCAACAAGTCTTATCGGGCAATCCCCTCCTTATCGAAAATTCCGTGAAAATACAAGCAGAAGTTAAAAGGATCATTTGAGGAGCGGGATGCACTTTCTTTCCAACAATGGACGGAAGATTTAAAGTTTCCCGAGTATCTCGTCCGGAGTTTGAGAAAGAGGCGAATGTTTTTTGTTCCACCCATAACGTTTCTTTGACCCTGTAATGACCGTTTTGGGTCAAATGGACCCTGAAAAAAATTAGTAGTTTGTGTAGGCTGCACCTCGAAGCGCGAAGAATCTGACTCGCACCATCTATAGTGAGGGGCCTCCGATCACCTGGGTATTCGCGTAATTTCCCTGTAAGCAGATGCAAGAGCTGCTTTATGGTCACCCGAACTCCCTCCGCCTGGATGGAGGGCTTTTTCACGCCTCGATCCAGAATGATATCCTCTGAAGTGGAAGGGAGGATCGCCCGGAATCCCTTGCCCCTTCTCGAGTGCGATGAAGCACAGGGCCTGGCAGGCTTCGAGCTCGGGATCTTACCTTGTAACGCAAATCGCCTGCTTCGTCTCCGGTTATCGATTTATTGAGGCCGATCGTGAGCCCTCGTGGCAAATCGTTATGAGTAGGTGGACATTTCCATAGCAGAGTTGGCTGTTTGCTTGCGGGCGGTCGCCTCTACCCGCCCTTTGGATGCTTCAAGAAAGCAACATGAATTTTTCTGCATTTTTTTCGCAAACCATTCCAGGTTCCCTTCTCATATTTTGGAACAATATCCGTCGCTGCTTGTGCGGAACTCCCAATCACAGTTGCATGAATCTCACACCCAAAATATAATATGTATGTCCTCAGCCATATTCGTCCTTAAGAAGCCATATGTGGTCATATTTGATATTATGCCTTTGACAGACTTGCTTCACTGTCTGCCCCTTTACACTTTCCTTTCATAAGCTTGAGTCTACCATGCATTCCGGTCGAGAGCCTGGTCGAGTCAATCGATCGTTTAGCTGTGACACTGGAATGGCACTGGAATGTGGCACGTTTCTAAAGTGCATTTCTTTCTCTTTCTTGCATTTCTTTTCCTTGTCTTAACCGGGGAATGGTCACTTCTCCCCGAGTACTCCACATTCTCACATTCGATGCCTTTCTCGCTATTATTATGTTTAGGTGACATCAATAATTTCGCACTGTATGCAATACATATTTGCAATTTCTTTATAAAAAAAAACATGGACATCCATTTTACGTTCAATTGGAAATCATCCGTACAATTTTTGAAATGCATGCACTCAATCGTTGACAAGCTGGGAGTTTCATCTTCAATCATAAATCGAAAATGAAAGTACATGGAAGTACTGCGCACAAAAGTACATCGAAAGCCTGAAAATTCATATATCTTTAGTATACTTATGTCATATGTCCAGTCTCGACGACGAGACTGGACATATGGCGCTCAGTCGATCTGTTCGAATGACCTTCGGAAAATCCATGCATTCGAACAGCTTTGTTCGTACCACACGATATCAACAGAAAATTTAGAAGTGCTCTACTGTGTTCTCAAAATCGAGCGGCTGACGGCTTTTTCTCCCCTATTGAAGCCTGAACCGAAAATGTCAGCTGGTAAAACTCATGCTGCACAAGTAGCTAGCGTTTGCATGAGGTTAGTTATGTGAAGAATGTTCATGAAAGGCTAGACGATGACGAACACGTAAGACAAGAACGCTTAACGAAATTTGTAATGTATTAGTACTGGTATAGTAATAATTCTTGTATTTCATTTATACTGGTATGGTATTTCAAACTGGAAGAAGACGGTTTCGAAGCAACCGAGGTCCTGAGACTAAGCATATAGCGTAGTCGATCCTGACGGCTAGCTAGGCGGAGCGACATATGTGTGTTTGTGGGTGTGACAGCTGTACAGGCGAAACGCCTCGACGTCAGCGCTTTGGATTTCGACAGATGTATTCTTTCTAATTCGAGGATGTGCCACTGCGAAATGAAGTTCGCAAATCAGTGTCACTAAAAGGAAGGGAGGTAACTTAGATGGAAAATCATAGATATTATGTTTGTATGTCCATTAATTGCAACCATTGCTTACAATATCCAATCCATTGCCAATCAAATCGAATGCCAATACTGTAGATAAACAGATGTCTTTCTATAAAAAGGACAATAAGGGCAGGTTGTGTAATCATCTAAACCATGTGATCCGTGCACTTTCACGACCCCTACTCCATCTAGAATCCCATTCTGCTTTGAGTTGCTGAAATTGCAAATCAAAAAGGTCTCCGGTCAGGTGTCTTCAGGCGTTGCACGCTTTCACGCATCAGGTGAGAATTAATTAAGTATGAAAATTGTTTTGGAATGAACGACGAATATTTTATCCTGGTAGAAACCAATGGAGCAGCTACAAGTGATATATGTGGTAATTGGAAAGACGCAATGAGAAGGCCACGAACTGATGACGGTTTTTCTTTCGTTATATGTTGACTCTAGGTAAGGACAGCTGCATAACGTGTGGCAGGGAGTTGCAAAAGGATTTAGAGAAACCGTCGAGTGTGTGTTTGGACAGGAAGGCTAAAGAACATAAAATTGTGCTTTTGCAGAGTTTTGCCCGTCCTGCAGCGGGAGGGACAATACTGGCACTTTCTGATAATGGGACTGTCCACGGTGCCGGACGATTTGCTTTGGGTAGTAACTAAAAATTCCATAATTCAATGTCTTGCACTCTCTCTTTTGTTAGAGGTGGACCCATGTGCAAAGAGTAAGCCGTGACATTGAGACCCTCAAGTTAAAGTCACTTGCTCTAATGTGCCCGTATCTATGGAGCGGACTCTAAACATTTAGTTTCGGGTTCATTCTTGAGATCAAATGAAAGCCTAGTATTATTGTAAGTCACCCCAAGAATACAACACTTGAAACAGAAAGTAAGTCGATTCTGTGCCGGTGTCGCATGTGACAGGAGAGTGTCGGATGTGACAAGTTCAGCAAATGTATTTCGAAATGGGAAGTCTGAACATTTCTTTTAATTTTCTTTTAAAGATTTCATTCAAATGTGACTAATTGACATCTACTCCACATCTGAGCTGATTTGAAAGCATTAGTATGCATGGCAAGCCCATTCTTGCCAATCCAGTCTCCCCAGGTTTGCATTTTCATTCCATTTTCGGGTTTCATGAGAATGATGTCAATAATATATCATAATCATAAATAAAACCTTCTTTTTTCAATGTAATGTTCTGTGTCATTAATGTATTCTGTGAAAAAGGAATGATGAACTTATGTAGGGAAAGTAATACTTCCATACTTAGGATAATTTCCAGCAAAATTCCGAGGACTACTTGGCTTGGACACTCTAATGTCATTTTCATACTTACACCTCTGGAACTCTCGGTCGATTCTTTCTCTCAATTATTGTTGCATATGTTTTGACACGGAACAGGGATATTTGCAATCACAATCAGCAATAATAATCTGTATTGCTAAAAAATGGCGCCATATGAATTCGCACATGCATCAGGGTCCATGATTAGGTCACGTTCAAGAACAAAATCAAAAGCGATGTTTCATTCATGGCACATGATACTGACTCAGGAAAGGTACAACAAATCACAGATAAAGCAGCGGAAGCGAGAGAGACACACGACAAATTTGCTGAAAGCATGAGCATGGAACAAATACCATTTTCAAAGCCTGCCATTTAATGGGAAAAAACCACCCATCTCCCTGCCTATGATGACCTTAGGTCCGACCTGATGGCAGGCTTCTCGTATTGAGCAAATCACGAAACTTGACAAGACTGGGTTGTTCATCCCATTTTATTTTAAGTCCATGTACCAACATCAAGACCCACAGCTGACAATTGCCCATGCCCGCATGTTTGATTCTCCTGTCACGGTTCATGCTAGCGGCAGCATCACGCACTGCTAGCGGAGACAACTGCATCTTGGCAATTTCTTCTACCTCCCATTCGAAGCCATCTTCCAGGTCCTGCCTGAATGAAGGGATGAGTCGACCCCCGGCTGATTTGATTCCCTCGTATACTGCCTGATTACCGCCTTTGAAGCGGAACAGGAGAGCCCAGTGTCTGCCTTGGAGACCTTCCTCGCATGTCGAACGGTCTAGCTTGCGATGGCAAAAGAACACCTGCGGGAAGAAGAGAAAGATACCAATTGAACACAATATAATCCCATGACAGTTGCAGCATGAAATACTGCTAGAAGCTGCAATTCTAAATATTGGATATTGCAGATCGAGGACGTTCGTTAGATTATCGTGACAGGGAACGCTATTAGGTTCCATACTTTCTTATTGCCAAATTTATCTGAGTCCTCACTCCAGTGAGGTTGGAAAGCTCGAAAACGGAACAAAAATATTCATTATCCTCTTGGCAGTCTAATTATTTTAACACGTCTTACTTTTATTGTTTTCTCTCAAATTCACCCCAACTTTCCACATCTTAAGTTATTGGTGATGAGAATATTGGACTTTGAGGATAAATTATTCGATTACAAACATATTGGGCACTATGGACTCTCAGAAGCAGATTGTTTTATCAATATATATTAATAGATATCATACCCACGAAGTATAGCGAACGTTCAAGAACAGCAGAAAACATTGCTTAGACATGCTATCATCAATACAGATTGCACACTTAATTTAAGATACAGCTGAATATTACATTAATCAGGATTTGGCAGTTTTACCGCACCCGAAAACAAAAAATGATGAGCGTCTCAGACCTGTGTCTTCCTGAAAAGTGTTGCATCTCCAGATCTCTCCGGGAGGGCCACAAGTTTTGCGGAGACACCTCTCATGGCTCCGAGATTGGCATCAAATGTCCTATGTTTTCCTGCATGTTCCCAGGTGAAAATTTCTGGATCCCTAGGGTGGGACACCTAAAAGTATGGGACCAAGAAATTGCTTCTGATCGCACAAAAGTTGCCACAATTGGCACGAGAATCAACAAAGTATTATGATCATGAGAGGAGAAGACAATCCAAACGAATGGAGTTTTTTGCTTAATATTCCACGGGAATGCAGGAGATGGAAGCAAATGAATATAGAGAACTCCCCGTTCTTGGCTTCAACAATAACGACTTCCTCATGCCATAGATGCACCGGGATTTCCCAAGCTTCAAAGAGCGATTCTTTTGTGATCGAAAAATTCAGAAAATCTGCGCACCTGAGGCATGGCATGTTTTTACGCAATGACCAAGGCTTATGAACAGCTCATGCTCAAGAGCAAGACGTTTGTTGCCTTCCTTCGATGATCCCAGTTTTGGGGCATACAAAAAGGAAAAATATTTTGAACAAAAAAAGCCTATGTTCATATTACTGCCGTTTCCACGAAACTTCTATCCTAGAAAGACAGATGTGTTTACAAGACTTGCGGAATTTTTTTCACATTCATCAAGCCTTATGCATTGGCTTTTGTCCTTCATTTTATTTTCACATTCATTCCAAAATTTCCAAAGCCTTGCTGTAGCCAGACAAAAATCGCGGAGATTTCAAACGGATGTTGAGAACATAGCAGTCAGTGCCCAGCACAAATTTTTCAGTAATGTATCCAATAATTGCAAGAGTTACAAATAGGTGTTTATTGTGCTTGTTCGCAACGAATGACCTAATTAAAGAAACCAATGCCCAGGATGCTCGAGACACTTGGTGAACGCAAGCATGATATCGAGGGCTCTGTCAATGTATGAAACTGCGGGGGCGACATATCTTCACCTAGGATCCCGAGTAAAGATCAAGAAAATTCATTTGAAATTTATAGCATATTGTGGGATAAACATAACTTTTCATCGAAACACCAGGACGTCTGGAAACTGATCGCTTACAAGCTGATGAACTCGGGCGTAGTGGACATTAATGTGATGGCGCACGAGAGAATATTTTGTTACTTTTCGTTTGAATAAGAGAAATCCCTCACATTCGTGGTGACAAATCTTGGAAATGTCGGGGAGGGAAGCACAAGACAAGGTCCATCTGCCACCTCGTGCTTTTCCTGAGACATCCTCGGCTTGTTATGGCGGGACACCTGAAAGTTAGGGAGAAAATGAAAGCATTCATTTTGATTCGATTAAAGGCGTGAAAGCAAGAAAAGCATTCTTAGGATGAGATAGGAACAAAATTTGAGTTTTGGCTAGACAAGGTCTTCGAAAGGGTTGTGCCATTGCTCTCCACTCAAAGATTTTCGCCTCGACAGGAAGGAGTGGTGCGAAGGGCTTTCCCCAGGTGACAGGAGCACGAGATTGAGGCGACTGAAATTAGCACTATTGGGAGCCACCCATAGATCATGCTTTAGGTGAAGCATGGGAGCTGGGATACGCAAGAAGGTCACCGATTCATTCACTTGCTTTAAATAACTCGGTACTCTGTATGCCTTGAGAGCGGACAATTTTCCTGATCTTAGAAAAATCGCTCTATCATGCCAAAAATATATTTATCTCAAAAATGGCGTGTTTCAGCACTGTGGCAAAGGCTCGTGAAAAAGTCACGATCAAGAACTGGACATTTGCGTCCCTTCGTTGATGAAAGGAATGATTTCGTTGCTCTGCATGGAAAAAATACTTTTCATTAAAAAAAAATCAAAACCCCTATCCTACTGCAGCTACTGTCGCAGTACGTGTATCCTCCATAGGGTAATTCGGGGTGATATGGCCCTAAAAACTGAAACATGGTTTTTGTGGTCCATTAAGGGAATTGTATGCGATCGCGTGGCTGTGTCTAGACACTTTAAAAGTAAGGAGAGATCTAAGTTCACACACGTGCCATGTGCGAACTGAAGGTCGTATAATTGGGGAAAAGTACGATGCAAAGTTTTTTACACGTATCGAAAAGGTGTTCATAAAATCATGAAAAGCAAAAATCTATTTGAAGTATGAAATACCTTCACCTGCAATCGAATTTCATGCCAACAAATTTTCGGGAGTACATCCAGAAGGCGTTGGATGAGGATATAAACCGCATATATCGTGCGGATGTCCGGTGGATCGTGGTACGTCCGCAGCGGGCATGGAACGATTGCTGCCTGGGGTCGCACGGATAGGGATAAAACCCTGCCGATAGGTCGGTGACCCATTAAATCAAGGCGGTGTCCTTTTTACTCCTAATTGAGGTGGCCGTGTTCCCCCATGTTCGCCTGGCACGACAATGACGAAAACGCTGCGTGCAAACCGCAGATGGAAGGGATAGCACTTTCCAGAAGCTTTCTGTTGGGACAGTGGAATGACATGGAACAAATGGTTTATGTATCCTTGCTGCTTTCAGGAAATATGCACCCAAGTTGCTCGAGGTTCATATTGGTTTCGGTGCCGTAAGTTGAGGAATTGCACTCGCTTGCAAAATATTCATGCATACCGTCTTTCTGTGCGCAATGAATTGATGAACAAGGGATATTTCTGCAATTCCATATGCTCTTACATTGCCCTATTTCTAAAATTCGAAAATACTTATTCTGCAACGTGCTTGGGGAAATATTGCGAAGGGAAAAGGAGGGAGGGGAGAAGGGAGGGAAAGGGGGGGAAGGAGGAGGGAGAGGTTGCATCGGATTACAATACGGTCAGAGATTGCAGTTGGCTTATCGTGCATTGCGCAACACCAAGAAAGGCAAACGAAGATGAGAAAACTCGTAATCCTTACCTAATAGGGACATTTCCCCCGACTTTCCCTTTGGTAATATGCTTGCGCGAGTCACATGAAATCCCATGAAATTTCATCATATCTAAACAAGACTATGAATAATTGTTCAAATAAAGTGGAATTAGGGAATGGATTTTTGGGGGGGATTTGAACGCAAACGAGTTGGAATGCAGCGGATGCGTTTGCGGGCTCCTCTCTCTGCGGGGAGCCTCCATTCCGATTTCGTTTCGATGTTGGGTCTGATGCCTTGCTGAAGCGAAACGAGTTCGCATGAGAATTCAGAGGGAGTTTGAGAGAATGTGGCCTGCTATGCATGCTTCCCGTCTTGTTATAGAAATAGTTCCGATGCGAGTTACGAGTGGCGGTACTAGGAAAGCGATACTTTGCGACACCCGCGGCATTGCGAATGAGAAGCTAAAAAGAAAATCCAACCCAATTCCCTTTTTTTTTCACGGGAGGTAGATGCGTCCCTGGTGTCATATTAAATATTCCTCTTTCCTGCAATTTAATGCCATTGCGACACAGAGTGTATGGCGATGTGTGAAGCTAATCGAGCGACCTTTATGAGAGAATGGACCCTGAGTAAAGACTAAAGGGATTCATTTGAAATTCACGGCTTACGTTAACGTTCCAAGTATTAATTATGCATTAAAGAATCATTAAAGTAACCACTAATTTGATTTAATAAACCGGAACAAAATAGGTACGGCCTCCCTCACTTTAAGCCTTTTCAATCGAAGGAGCAACAGGTGTTGAGTGAAAGGGGGATTGTTGAACGAGAGAGGAAACGGGGAACCTGAACTGACTGGTTTATTTTTGTTCATTTTAAAAAAAGCTTTGAAAATGGAAACGTCTTCCCTGAAAAGAAAGACCAAAAAACCTTTCCTGTCCCCGTAAAACTAGCTCATCTGCATATCGAAATGCATATGACTGCAAAAGCTTAGCACAATCAGACCCACAAAACAGGGCAGCGTTTCCCCGGAGAATTTACTCGAACCTAATCCAGGCTCCCATGCGATGAAAAAGAATGAGATGGAGTGAGGAGGAGATGGAAAAGGGGGACGGGAGAAGAGTGTAGAGGCTAAGAATGGGGCGGGTGGAAAGCAGGGAGCGGAGAGAGAAGAGGAAGGGGGGAAAGGAGGGGGAAGGGGGATGGTTGCATCGTTTTCCAGTATAGTTACCAATTGCAGTTGGCTTATCGTGCCTTGTGTAGCACTGTGTAACATTATGTAACAGGCATGCGATCATAAGATACCTCGTGATCATTACATGGAAGGAGATTAGTACGATACGATGTGGAGATACGATGGAGATTAGTAAAAATGACTTTAATTCAGAAATTAGAAGATGCGGAAGCGATTAATCGTTAATTGATGTGTTGAATGAGAAGGGCGAGAAAGAGAAAATACTCGAGCCTGGAAGTCCCAAGAACGAAAAATGTACTCTTCTAGTCTCAACTGATTTTAACATTTTTACCATGAACCGTTTCCATACATGTAACTTTCCATCTCTGATGAGGGAATAGTACTTACGAGAGGGTGGTAATTGAGCTGATTTGCACGGAACGATGCGGCGTGCCACGCAACCAAGCCGGTCGTTCAACGCTCACTGAAAGTCGCCGGAAGGTTGCAATCGGAGGGCTGCGAGTGGAGGCCTCGGTGGGACGATGATTGTCGGGTTCCGACTCGTCCCGCGGGATGCGATCGAGGGGGACCGCGGGCGACTCGGCGGGATCCGCTGCAGCGCGCACTTCCAATGGAGCTACGGGAATCGGCGCAGGGATGCCGGATGCGGCGTGCGTCGTGCGATCGTGCGTCACGCGTCCCATCCGAATTTTCATGAATGAAGTTGCTTCTGCTGCATTCACGTGAAGCATTCACATTCTGCATTCAAGCAGATTCTCAGCGTTTCAACACCAATAGTCAATTTCGTACTGTCCAGCACTTGACTATTTTTCTCCGAGGACCACAATAGCTCCCAGTCACAAAAAGGTAGTGAAATAATGTGGCCATTAAATACACCATTCCAAGAAAATATGGAGCGCTTTCCCCGGGCTTGCGTGGATGCTCTTCGTTCATTCCTCGGAATTCCCTGCACCGACCACGACGATTTCATTGTGTTTGGAAGGTATTTTTAAATGTGGAATGGTGTGTCAACAAGTCTTATCGGGCACTTCCCTCCTTATCGAAAATTTCGTGAAAAATACAAAAAGAAGTTATAAGGATTATTAGAGGAGCGGGATGCGTGATCTTCCCGGCTATGGACGGAAGACACGAAGTTGCCCGAGTATCTCGTCCCGAGTTTGACGAAGAGGCGAATGTTTTTTGTTCCACACACAACGTTTCTTTGACCCTGTAATGACCGGTCTGCGTCGAATGGACCCCGGCAATAAATGAGTCATTTGTGCAGGCTGTGCTGTGAAGCACGAAGGATCGGACTCGCACCATCCGGCATCCCTGGCAAGGGACGAGACCTCCGACCACGCTGTGGCGTTCTTGCGTAATTTCCCTGTAAGCAGATGCACGAACAGCCTCAAGGTCACCCGGACTCCCTCCGCCTGGATGGAAGGCTTTTTCACGCCTCGATCCAGCATGATGGCATCCTCTGAAGTGGAAGGGAGGATCGCCCGGAATCCCTTGCCCCTTCTCGAGTGCGACGCAGCACCGGACCGGGCAGGCTTCGGGCTCGGGATGTGACCCTGCGAACGCACATCACCTGCTTCGTCCCTGGTTATCGATCGGTAAATAGACCAGGTATATCACGGACTGCGTGGGTGGAAATTTTCCTGTCAGAGTTGGCTGTTTGCTTGCACGCGGCCGCCTCTCCCGGCCCTTGTAATCTTTAAGAAATCAACATAAATGTTTCTGCATTTTCTTTCGCAAACTTTTCCAGTTTCCTTTCTTATATTTTGGAACAATATCCGGCGCCTCTTGTGCGGAACTCCCATTCACAGTCGCATGAAACACGCATCCAAAACATAATATAGATACCTTCGTCATATTTGTCCTAAAGAAGCCGTATGCGGTCATATTTGATATCATGCCTTTGACAGGCTTGCTTCACGCGTAGACTCTCTGCCCCCTTTTCCTTTTATTGGCATGAGTCATTCCAAGCCATGCCCTCGCTTCATTCCTTTCATCGACTCGAGTCCACCATGCATTCCAGTCGCGAGGCTGGTCGAGCCGATCGATCGTTTGGCATTGGCACCGGCAAATGGACGTAGGGCGGGATCGCTTCCGCGGGGTTAGGTACTGGCTCGACAACTTGCGCCCGCGGCCTCAACGCCTGACGGCGGGAACTTTCTGGGTAGGGTTTGTTAGACTGACGTCTGGCCTCGACTAAGTTCTGCACGATTAATTTGGGGGTCCTTCGGCTGTCCTTTCTCTTTTTAACTTCCAGGAGCTTTGCTCCGTTCCTGCAAGCTGTTTCCAATAGTTCGGACTCTGGTCTCTATGTTCCGTGCTTCTGGGTCAGAAAGTTGGGCATTTTCTGTTGCCCTTGAGTAGTTTCGGATGATTTCAGCAAGAAATAACTTCTTTTATTCTATCTGTGCACCTTGGTTGAGGGCAGTTTACTGCCCAGACAGGTAATTGCATATTTTTCAATTACCTGCCTGGTAATGGCCGATTTTGCCTATTAGTAGTTCTCATCGAAAAGGAAACACATTTCAGTGGGATACTCCTAAGTAACGGCAGAGAAAAAAAAAGAGGAAGCTGGAAGCGAATTATATGCAAGGAAGAATGCAAGTACCGCCTTTGTTAGCTACTCTTCAACAAAAGATTGACATCGTTCTTTCTGTGCCCAATAATTTCTTAGCGAGTAACACGTCCACTCTCTATGCGGAATGACCCCAGAACAGGGTTTCCATCCGTTGTGCCTCGACCAGACAGAGGTGTCATGTGCTCTGCAACATTTATTTCGCACGAAGTGTAAAAATTTGAAACTTTGTTTTCCATACAGTTCTTGATCTTTATCCATTCGCAACTGAAGGTGAGGTTTTGGAATTCCTGGATGGACCCGTTTCTGAAGAAAACTCGACAGAAGGAGACTTCGGGTTCATGTTGCCGTGGCGTCCCAGGCAACATTCCGTTAACCTCTGTTAACAATGTTGTCAGCTCGACTGTGGACATGTGGAGAACTGATATGGATTTCCTGACCAAGACCTTAAAAAAAAAAAACTGTACAGGTAGGGAGTTAAGGTATGGCAGATTTCATAGCGATAAAGTACTTCACTACTGAACTGGGATTTTTTTTCTATTAAGTCGCACCTTTATTGATACACTGTCGTTCATCTCTCCGCTGCACCCGTCTCCCCTACCTCTTATCAACTTCAATCCCTCTTATTTTCAAGGATAGGAGCTTTTCAGCGAAGGAAGAGTTATATAGAGGGAAGGGTGACTCTTGCCTCGCGGGAATTGACGTCACGTTAATTTCACGAAAGTGTCTCTCGTAACTGGAATGCATTCCGGGAAGATGGGGTGTCCCATAAGCTGGGGATCATTGCACTAAGGCGTATGGTTTATTTCCTACTCATGATGCATGCAGTGTACCTGCTAACATGATCGAATATTTAATCCCTTACCTCCCAAGCCTTTAATCCCAGCGAACCAGAGTGACAGAATGACGCATTTTACTAAGTTGGTATGTATTGCGGGATTTGGTTTAAATTGAGACACTCAGTTTGTAGGTTCAGATTTCATGATTCATATAGACTCTAGATTTGAGCTCTCACGGGTAAATGGGTAGGTTCCAGTCTATGCAGGAAACATGAAATAAATATATGCCTTTGATTCCAATTTCGTGGGGTGCCCTGTAGATCATTCGCCGCCTCGTAATGCAAACACTCGGATGTAAACATTGAGATGTTAGCACTTTAACAGACAGTACCCTGACTGTGGTGTGGCCGTCGTGATGTTATCTCCGGGGTATCACCCAAAAATTCAAGAAACAAGTGAGGTTATTGTGCTAGCGGACAATGCCACGATAATTACTTGGATTACATTAATTAACTTTCTCATTTAGATTATAATGGCGATCCATTGGTGACTATTAGCGCGTATTTTCAATAATGCTGAAGCAAATTATGTCTCCGTGTCTGATTTCCATGGTTTCGTTCTTGATTCGTGCAGGGAATATAAAAGGTGAAAAACGAAATGAATCGAATTTCCTATGTGAAGTGAAATGCTCGTTATGCGGAAAATGGGGGGGGAATTTCTTTAAATCGCCTGCGAAGGTCTTCAATCGTAATGCCCACCCTACACCTCGCTTTTATAGATGCAATACGTTCTTACTGTCGGAATCCATAGGTATAATGTAGGACTGTAACAAGGTCACCTCTGGCGGACTTACAGAGAGAGTAGTAGGCCGAACAGGACCAAAAAGTGGTCTCTATAGACTCAAGGAGGTCTATTGATGAGTATCACATGGTTTCCAATTAGACCTATTTCAATCCATAGGCGATTTCGTCAACAGGCAACAATCGGTGACGGCACTGGACGGTAGTTATGAGGAAAAAATCGGTCCACCGGCTTAATGGTTTAGCCTTAATCTGATGAACAATTTGGGTATACCTCCTTTTCCCAGACCCTGTGTAAACAATTCAAGCCAACAAAAAGGCCTTATGACAAGTATCCCACGTCTGCTTGTGTTTGCATCGATCGGATGCCTCAAACTCAGCGAGGGAGAAGTGAGTCTTATTCAAATCTTTCCTTTCCCTGCATGCCATTCGCGGTAAGGCCTTTGTGCTGTTGCAGTCAGTTATTTCGCTGAATGTGTATGGAAAACGATTAAATCGGGTAGGGGGGGGGTATGTTGTGATGTTATGTGACCGTAAAACGGTTAAGAGTCGTTTATTTTCTGCAGTTTTTCTGTCGGTTGCGGAAAGTACTCAACCAGCAGAACTTATATGTGGTATGGATTAGTTACTTATAATGCCCTTGAAACCCATCAAATTTAATCCGAAAACCAGAGGGAACTAGGCAAATCCCCTTGTCCCATTCACTTGGAATGACACTGCTTCTAATCGTGCGCTTTTCCTCTCCCAAGTCTGTCTTCGACTTCATTATGAGAACCTCAAGCGGGACAGCATCCGGTTAAGAGATGGATACGAATTCCTGCGGAAGGAAAACGAAAACCTGAGGAAAGACAACGAAAAACTCAGACTTGACCTGGAGAACGTGAAGCATGAGACAGGAAACGTCAAGTCTTCCCTGCAGAACAATCTCGATGTCAGAGACCAGATAAAACGTCACAATCACGTTACGGACGAAAGACTTCAATATCTGGAGGCGATAAGTCTGCAAATCGGTAAGCTCCAGATTAATTTACAGTATGGTTATGAGGAAAAAATCGGTCCACCGGCTTAATGGTTTAGCCTTAACCTGATGAAAAATTTGGGGATACCTCCTTTTCCCAGACCCTGTGTAAACAATTCAAGCCAACAAAAAGGCATTATGACAAGTATCCCACGTCTGCTTGTGTTTGCATCGATCGGATGGCTCAAACTCAGCGAGGGAGAAGTGAGTCTTATTCAAATCTTTTCTTTCCCTGCATGCCATTTGCGCTAAGGCCTTTGTGCTGTTGCAGTCAGTTATTTCGCTGAAGGTGTATGGAAAACGATTAAATCGGGGGGGGGGGTATGTTGAAAAGAAGCCCTGCTGAAAAGCAGAGAGTCTTCTCATTTGTCGGAATTGGGTTCTCCATTTGAGAATGCAGTTAGAGACAGTTGTAGATGAGCGATCGAGGTTCATCTTCCTAAGAAAAACTACAAAATGATATGGTAACAAAATATCACATCTGTCCACTTAGCCAGAATTCTGAATATTTTATAATTCAAATCATTGGCGACCAAGAATTGTGGGCCATAGAATATTCCCAGACAAAGAATCCTTGATGGAAAACCCTCTATATAATATCATACCGGCACTAAATTTCTTTTTTAAATATCCAACATTAACGAAATAAATAATTTCATGGAAATCCAAATGACATATTAGAACATGACATTTCTTCCCTAGATATTTCCTTCCTAGTTTTATTCAAACAGTGGTTGACTTGTATGTATTTACCATGGGATATTTCGTGGGTGCGAAGAAAAGTCTGGTAATAACCCTTTCACGGTCGTGTTTTACCGAAACCTTCATGACGACTGATATTGCAGGGCGTGACCGTAAAACGGTTAAGAGTCGGTTATTTTCTGCAGTTTTTCTGTAGGTTGCGGAAAGTACTCAACCAGCAGAACTTATTTATGGTGTGGATTAGGTACTTATAATGCCCTTGAAACCCATCAAATTTAATCCGAAAACCAGAGGGAACTAGGCAAATCCCCTTGTCCCATTCACTTGGAATGACACTGCTTCTAATCGTGCGCTTTTCCTCTCCCAAGTCTGAATAAAATTGATCAATTGTTTCACATTTATTCCCAGGAAGTCACAATTGAATCCTTCACTGGAAAGAAAGACTCCAATCTCGATGGAGTGGAGATGACCAATCGACTTGTAATAGAAAAAATTATTGAGCATGAGAAGTCCATCGCGCTATTGAAGATGAACATTGAAAACCTGTGGAACGAAAAAGAAAGCCTTCGGCGCAACCACGAGAGCTTCAAGGAAGACACGGACAAGCGATTTGAAGCCTTCAGGCAGGACAATGAGAACATCACGCAGGACAATGAAAGACTTCGACTTCATTATGAGAACCTCAAGCGAGACAGCATCCGGTTAATAGATGGATACGAATTCCTGCGGAAGGAAAACGAAAACCTGAGGAAAGACAACGAAAAACTCAGACTTGACCTGGAGAACGTGAAGCATGAGACAGGAAACGTCAAGTCTTCCCTGCAGAACAATCTCGATGTCAGAGACCAGATAAAACGTCACAATCACGTTACGGACGAAAGACTTCAATATCTGGAGGCGATAAGTCTGCAAATCGGTAAGCTCCAGATTAATTTACAGTATTACTTTCACTTGTATTATAGGATTCGTATTATCATAACAAAAATAATATTTGTGGTTCTCGCATGACAGCTCCCAGAACGTGCCAAACTCTGGCAGACCTGGGGGTGACCAGTACAGGAAATTATCTTATAGAACTTTATGGGACACTTCTTGGCGATCCACTCATACAAGTGCTCTGCGACATGGGAACAGGTCAGGAATACGATAAATATTGATATTTATTCCTGAAACGAACTAGACAGACTTTCTTTTCGCCTTTGTCCTTACTGAAGAACAGCTACTTTTCCTTAAAGATCCAGTATCCACGATCGTTCTCCACGATTCGATGGCCGATACGAAGATCGATCCTTGTGCTGGTCCTGGCTGCTACAGGCGGAAAATCAAGTACAACGCATCGCTCAAACAGATGGTGGCTTTGATCGATCAGTCGATGCATTGCAGTCAGGAAATAAGGGTGTGTATTTACCTTGTCTTCGCATTTCAATAATAATTTTTTACCGCCTGTAAATGCATATTATTATGCGATAATTATTTAGAGAAATTTGGCTGCAACGTTCTAAGAAATATATGTAATATTTTTGTTACTTTCAGTTCGACTGCTTTTCCACGGCCTTGAATACAGGAGAAAGGCAGCATGCATGGTGGTTGGACCGAGATGGGAATCCTCAGGTTTACTGGGATGGGTCAAACGGAGAAAAACACGTGTGCAGATGTGGTCTCTCCAACAACTGTACGGACAAAGCACTGCCGTGCAACTGCGACGCAAAAGCCCCACAATGGGAGTCTGACTCGGGAGCGATCACCAACCGAACGGCACTCCCGATAACTGAACTGCGATTCGGGGGATTACAATTTACGGGTCAGAAGGCGAAATACACACTGGGCGGATTAGCTTGCAAAGGCAAGGCACCTTCGGCGGAGAACCCAGCGGAATCGTGCTCGTCTCTCCGTCGAGCCGGACACACTCGTTCGGGTTATTACCTGGTCCAGGAAAAAAAAGAACGATTGGACGTCGTCCTCTGTCGGATGGAATTTGAAGACTCCGACGCAGGCTTCCAGACGGATACTGGTGCTCGCATCGTTGCGAAAGGCGTCTATTTTGATGCCTACATCAAAAGTGAATGGGAGGAAATTGGCGTAATTTCTTACAATGGGACCGAGGTGAACATAGGCAACGGAATGGATCCAAGCACCGGGATTTTCACCGCACCCCTGGACGGCATTTATGCCTTCCATTTTCATTATTTGGGTCGGTACGGTTCAGACACCCGGGTACATCTCAGAAAAAACCAAGTGAACAAAGGAGCTTTGTTTGCGTCCCAAAATTACACCGAAGTCTCGGGCCAAGCGATCCTCCTCAGTCTCAAATTGGGTAACAAAGTAGACGTTTACTTGGCCTTCGGAAAAGTTGGTTCATTTTATAGATATATAATTACCTTCATTTTGTCGGATATTTGTTGCATCCCACGTAGGATGAAGCATGGACCGATGTAATTTGCTATGTTGCAATATGCTACCTTTTCATTTTCGATTTAAAAAAATGCACGAAAAACTGTTTCCGAAAATACACTTCGTTGCGCATTATTTTGTCAGGCGCGACACATTTCGAAGCACCTTTCTGCATGCTTTCATTGAAGTCAGGATTAGGCGCGTAAAAAAAGTGATACAGTGTACGTTGATATGCAAAAATTTGGCAATGATGCAATTCCGATATGCCCATCCTAGCATGCGCCACACTTCCCATTTCAGGTTCCGTTCCGTTTCTGATTTCTTTTATTTTCCTTGGATCGTGGATTAAATATATCAATATTTCCGTCGGTTACAGATTGAATTATATTTGCGGGACTAGCCAGGAGACCACGGGGCTAAACGAAAGCATAAATGGTCCGACTAAATTGTGTGACTATTTTTTTTCACTTGCTCATAATCGTACCGTAGGTATGCCCGATAGGTAATTGACGTTGGCAAAAATGGAACGGTAGACTGACTTGGGTTGACGCGTCCAGTGAAACTCTAGACAGGTAATGAATGCAGCCACTCGGTGCTTACGCCGTGCTTACCTCAACCACTATGGGTGTTCAAACGAAATGGGGACTTTTAGTCCCTTACCCTTAGACAATGAGCAACAGCCATCGTCCCCTTTTCATTTGTACGCCTAATATAAAGACATTTGCGTTCAGGTCTCTCATGATCACAGGCGTGTCGTCGCTAAGGTCGTTCCCAAACATAAGACTTCTCTCACGCATCAGGATAGCTTCAATTTTTAGGTTCATGGAGTGCATCAAGATACCCAGAGTATCGAGATTGCTGAAGAATTCAAACGGAAAGGTGGCCTGCCAGTCGACGTCATCATCACCGTGATCGTTTTCACAATTTCGATACTGTGATGTGTCCGCAATTCGCCTTCCAATTGGGACGACACGTCCTCGTTGACCTAACTGAAGTGCTCACTCTTGGGACATAGAATAAGGGCGTCTGTCTCTCACTCCGGCATCGCAGACCCTATGCCGTTGCTCAAACAGCTTCTTCACCAGTTATCGCAGATACAATCGCCTGGTAAACGCACGGAGAGCTCATACCGATCGCCTCCTGCTCCTTTATCTGTAAGGGGGTATGTAGAAAAGCCTCCGGGAAAAGGGCGAACTTAAAGGTCAACTGAACTTCACCGAAGGAAAACTGCAATATCTGGAGACTATTAGCCTACACGTAGGTGGATGAAGACTCGATGAAGCCAGAATTGAGATCAGAATTGTTGACGAACGTAAAATATTAAACAAAAAGTACGTTGATGCTCTAATGGCAAAAATATAGTTGTTTCGTTATCCGCACCATGCCCCATCACTGCTTGGAATGTCTGCTTTACTGGACATTCAGTCACCACCGTCTCACCAGTTCATTGTGCGCAGTTCTTCTTCAAAGATGGCACAGACGATTTTGCGAACACTCGGCGAAGAGCATCCCACTCTATTGAAATTCCCTAACCATGCATGGATCCACAACATACTTATCACTCCGATTAGAATGACTGTTGTATTTTGATGACGAATCTTCGCTTGAATGGGGGAGTTCGAATGGGGGCAAAAGAACTTGCTAGGCATGTTCAAGTGCTTCGAGACAACCCGTGCAACGTTCTGCATGATGAGCGCCCTACCATCCTTTGGCCATTTAACATGTTAATCACTGTCATGTGCTCCGCATGTAAATGGCCAAGAATCGAACTCGCACCTTCGTGTAACACCGCTCTCGAATTGATGAGGTAATACGCGCCGACTCATATTTTTCCTTACTACACGCAGAACTCCGTTACTGTGTGCTACTTCTTACAGGACCCTCATTCGATAGCACATACCACCGTGGAACGAGAAATATGCCTGCGCATAGTGAATAGGACAGACAGTCGTGACAGTAGCACTTCAGCCGATCACATCTTCCAGGCAGTGTTATGTCCTTATCTGAAATGGAATTTGTCCGCGAAATACTCTAAAAGTGCCAACTTCTTTTTTGATGCCCTTGCACAGAAGTGAATATGTTCTTTCAAGTGAGAATCGCTCGAGTATGATACTTTGATCTCAGCTCCCCGAACATGTCAGACGCTGGCAGACCTGGGGGTGACACGGACAGGAGAATATTTCGTGGATCCTGACGGGGTGTCGATCGGCGATGCACCCATCAAAGTGCTCTGTGACATGGAGACAGGTCGGTCAAGTAAACAATTGGTCCGTCGGTCGTACAGATACTTCAATGATGATGTTTCATTTGTTCATGCTCATGCTCTCTCAACTATGCTTAACCCTCAACTACTCGCGCCCTGTCTCATAGCATAACTACTCGCACGGTGTACTTTATACACCAATGTATATAGACAGTATTTATTCAGTAATATGGTATGAAATTACATACAAACCCAGCCAGTTCTGCTCTAGTTACTTTCGTCCGTTGCAGGATGTGCACATGTATCACATTTCACATCAGTTTTTGAATGTTCTTTGCACACAAAGTCATTGCAAGAAGAACATCTCATCGTTGTCACTCTGTTAATAACTGCGAATGGTGTACAAAATACACCAGCGCGAGTAATTAAGGGTTAATCTAGATCCAGTATCCGCGATCGTTCTCCACGATTCGATGGCCGATACGATGATCGATCCTTGTGCTGGTCCTGGCTGCTACCGTCGGAAAATCAAGTACGATGCGTCGCTCAAACAGATGGTGGCTTTGATCAATCAGTCGACGCATTGCTGTCAGGAAACAAGGGTGAATTTACACTGTCTCAGCATTTCAAAATTAATTGTATATCTAGTGTAAATCAGCGTTCTCATGCAATAATTATTTAAAGAAATGCGGCTGCAGGTTTCTGAGAAATGTACCTTATATTTACTCTACTTCCAGATCGACTGCTTATCAACGGCCTTGATTTTTAGGAAGCGCTACAGCCGGCCCTCTCCTTCAGTCCCATCGGAAAAGGGGGCATGACGCCCTCCTCTTCTCATTTAATTTGTGTCCTAACAAGATTGAGAATGAGACAGGATGACAGGGAATGTGTGAATGTTCGAGCCTATTTTGTAGGCAGAGGCGCCATTTCGTACATATTTTCCACTAAGACGAAATATTTTCACCTTCTCTGTGATTCTTTTTTTTGTTACTGAATATTCGTAATAATGAAGTAGTCAAGACAATGCAAAACAGGCGACTATGTGGGAGGTACCAATTACGAATCACCTTACTAGTCGCGTCGGACGGATTTACTTGCACGCATGTCCTGAAGAAAGAATTATGAAAGACCGCGCAAGCGAGAAAGGGGTAGCTGTTGGTTGGAGGTTGTTTCGTGTGTGAGCGGAGAGTGACCCACCGGATCGTGAGTTGAAAGCGAGTTGGATCAGGATCCCTGGCGAAGACGAGGGTTAATTACTGTATCCTGAAAAAGCTGTGAGTGAATGCTGCTCGTCGTCCCATCCCACTCTGTTATTCATTCAGGTATTGGACCTCTTGTCTTTCATATTTAGTGAAAATCAAGCACAATATATTTCAAGGAGATCATACATCCCTTTCTGATCCTCATCTATATTGTTCTCACCCGACCTTGGCTATCGTAACAAATTCATTTCATTATTAACGAGTCTGAGTAGACAATACAACTTCGAACACGCTGGTGATCTGTTAGTGATAAGGAGTAATTTACGATCACGTCAGAGCCGCCTACATATTGGCGACCCCGACGTGATCGTGCTTTCAAGAGGCGCGATCTCTCAACCAGTAGGGAGAGATCATTATTTGTAGAGCTGGAAGAAAAGGTGAAGAATGCCACCTGTAGAGGAAACGAGGAAGGGAATCTTGGCCTCAGTACCCCTTGCTAATGCGATATTTTTTGTGCCTTTGTTCCATGGGGATGGGAAAGATGGGGGTGTTAGTGTAGAGGATTTCCTCGAGTCCCTTGTGTTTGTAAGGAATATGAAGCTTGCTCCCGATGCTAAGATACTGCAGTTAGCTGCCACACGTATGCATGGCACTGCCAACAATTATTTGAGAGTTAACCGGAACTTCTTGAGAGCGGCAATTATGAGCGCTTCCGACAGCCACTCAAAGAGAGACTTGGCCGCATAGGGGATCGCGCGCGTTCAATGAATGCCCTGCTGTCCGTCATTCAGCGACCTGGAGAAGGTGTTCGGGAATACACCCATAGGGTTAAATACCTGTTGGACGAAATCCGTCGGCGTGGTACCGACGGATCAGAAATACCCCCGGAAATCCAGGACGACTATTAAAATGATCTTGGCAAGACCTGATATACTACGGGGCTGAAACCTAATTTTAGACAGGAGGTCTTGGCAAAATATCCGAAGAACTTGGCCGAAGCGGCCAAGTTCGCGAGGAAGGTGGAACGGAATATGGAATTATGCCAGGGTACTCCCCACAGTCTGGCAAAGGCGAATGATCCGCCAAAAAATAGAGCCTATTGGATGCCTCGTATAATGAAAGACGGAAATCAGGCGCTCTTGATTCTCAGTGCTGGACTTGCGGAAGGAGAGGACACATTGCACGGCAATGCCCTCAGCCCTCCTCGCGTGGCAATGTGGGGTTACCCGTAACCTGCTTTGCCTGGCGTCAGTTAGAACATTTCTCTCGAAACTGCCCCTTCGAAGCGACGATGTCAAGAACAATCGATTCGTGGCCGTCTGCTTCACGGAGCGAGGGTCGACCCTTCCAACAGATCTATCAGAGAAGACGGGGCTAAGTTGCAAGGGGAGAGACTCATGGAGGATACAGGCGGAAACGATCCGGTTATGTCGATGCCCCACCAATCAGATACCCCATCTCCAACGATAACAAAGGGGAAATATTAGAGCAGGTGACGACAGGGCGACAGGGCGACCTGGCTTGGTCGACCGCAGATGACATGGGGAATCAATAGTGGCTCCCATAGTGCCTTGAATGACACAGGGGAACCGGATGGTCGAATTCTGATCCAAAAATCGGGGACAGCCCTCCCCATGTGCAAAACGGCGAGGATTGAAACATAAACCCAGAATGCAAGAAAAGTGTTATATGTTTATGTTGACCGGAACAGCCCTATATCTGTCTTAAATATTGAGAGATTGCAGGTCAGAGTGCTAGTTGATAGTGAGAGCAAAGTGTCTCTCCTTCATGGAGGAGTAGGGGACGTGATCTAAAGGAGGATTGGGGGATTGGAGGAACTCTCACTGGGACTAACAACTACTTTCAAGGGTGTTTCTTTCCTCTCCAGTGCAGAATCCGTTGAGCAGATTTCTGACTCGTCAATACGGCTGCAAATTGGCAGACGAGAATTCAGCATCATAAGAATATCAACTTTAGGTAAAATGACATGTACTCGAACGCCCTTGCCTTTCGTTCTGGCAATTTTTTTCCTCTTGCTCCTTCTCTTCCTATCAGATGAAAACTCTGATGATCATCAGGAATCATTTTGTAAATCATTCTTCAAACTGGCTGATTTATTTCAACCCTTACCAGGAAATTCTTGCGATATTCTTTGCCAACCCATCGTTTCACAAAGAGCAAAATTTTACTCCTCAGGCGGAGAAATTCTGACAATTAAAGTAGACTATTAAAACCATTCTCCCTCCAGCTTCGGAGCCGGAATTTCAAGGCGCACCAACGGTTACCTCCGAGAGAAATGTGTTGAAATTTATTTTCTTCTTGTTCCCTGAGACCCATATGAGTAAAGGTCACGAGCTATACGAATGGTACTGGGAACTCATTCCATCAGCGTCGGGGGGGTGGGTCTCGCCAACGACTACGTGGGCGCCATCTACCGCTGCTTTTAGGAAATTAATTTGTTCAAGTGGCTAGCACCTGGATTGGCTGCAGATCTCGTTTGCTTCGACAGTGGGGCATCGAGTTAGGCCAGATGTTTTTGGCTGAGCCACTGTTGCCATATGGCAACAGTGGAAACACGAATGATGAGGCAACTGAGTTTGGTAATAGGGGCAACTTGATTGGACAGCCACGTGGCTGACCGACACAAACACAATGCGCTTCATGGCGCGCTGCCCACGCAAAATGATCCAAGTGGTTTATGACTTCATCATCATGTTTTTTTCAAGCATTGTCACCGTTCTCAAAGAATTAGGAAATCGAGACCGTTACGGGAGGTCGAGCTTTCCCGTCTCCCCTTTTAAGTGCGTCCCTTTTCGGTACTACTAGTTTGTAGTACCTAATAAATGCTTCACCTCAAGTGCCAGGTAAGCCCATACCACCCACAGGTAGATTGGTGCCACCATGCAACTTCATGGGTGATACATCCTCGGCAGAGCAATGTCTCGGTTTTGGTACTTGGGACACCGTGGGTCCGGGGTTGAGGGGCTCAGAAAATTGCGCTGTAAAAGGCGAAAAATAAAAAACATTTATTTCTGGTCCAGTGTATACAGTACACAATGAATGGAAATTTAAAAAAATGACATCAGATATGTATTTTCAAAGTGAAAATTCCTGAGATATTAACATATAAATACGTCCATTCGTGGTCATTATCTGCTTTTCTCATTTTTTCCTGAACACGACTTCCCAATAGCTGCATGTGTCCCATCATTCAGTATTCTAACCTCCGTAGAACATGGTAAGAATTTGTGTTAATCTGTCACTCAGTCCCTCAGTCAGTCATGAGCGCTAAGATATATTAGATTGTGTACAGAAAAACGTAAACTATAAATTATCGGAAATATTTTTTGCAAATAATGTGTCGATTCTTATATCTAATGCCACTTCTTTAAAATAACCATAAGTACCTGACAACCAAGTCACGACCTAATGAATATATGTCCTGGGGGAGTTGCCAAAACAATGTCGTGATCAAAGGTACAACGATGAATGCATGAATTCTTTATGCAATTGAAAGCATGGCTGAATGCAAGTTTCATCTTTATTAGCAACTACTCGACTAAAGGAAAAAAATATCCTCGTTCTCTTTTGCATTTGCTTTTTGTATTTATTTTTAAATATGTTCACATCCGAATTTTTATCAGGAAAGATGTTAATTCAGGTCAAACTTAAAAGGGGAACACCACGGAGCAACGATTCTCAACTGGTTTTTCTCAACCGGTTTGTCTCAACCGGTTTGTCTCAACCGGTTTGTCTCAACCGGTTTGTCTCAACCGGTTTGTCTCAACCGGTTTGTCTCAACCGGTTTGTCTCAACCTGTATAACCACCGTCTCCATTTCAGGCCCGGAAACCAGTCGAGTTAGCAGTGCATCAAGATGAGAGGAATTCCATGTCTCCTGCTGTTTACAATGAAGCTTCTAACCAATTACGGGTCTGGAAATGTAAGTTAAACCTCGTTAGTTCCCCAACTCCCCTACGCGCATTTGAAAAAATGTTGATATGTGGATTTCCGTGAAGAAGGGCGTCTATGATGCTTCAAATCAAGGAGGGGTGGAAGATTTTAATGAAGAGTTGTGAATATTAATTGTTTAATTTTAACACCTTTGGGGATTTTTTTCTTCTTACTCTTGATTTTAAGAGAAAAAAGGAAATTTTTGGCTGCTGATGATTGTGATTTTCCCCCACGAAGTAAATCATGGATTATTTATAGCTTTTATCAGGAAGCTTTTTGTCGTGAAAATGTCGCCTCGTATCAAGTGTTTCTTTGTTTTCCCAGGCCCTCGAAAGCACTCCTATCCATGGACGGGATAATATTGGTGGCACCTTAGACGAAATGATGTTAGATCTGCAGACAAAAGCGCAAGAACATGCGAAGCAAATCGAGCAACTAATGACTGAAATTGAAAACTTGCGGAATGACGGAAAAATTCTCAGGGACGACAACAAGAAATTGAAGAATAACTTTGAGAACATAAGGAAGGACCACGAAAACCTCAAGTCCAGCTTCCAGGAACATCTCCGGGAAAGGGACAAACTTAAACTTCAACTGAACACCACCGAAGGAAGACTCCAATATCTGGAGGCTATTAGCCTACAAATAGGTGAGCGAAGTGTTGATGAAGACCTTCCATTCGAATTATTGACGAACGTCAAATACTAAACAAAATTACTTTTGGTGCACTAGTGGCATAAATATAGTTGTTTAGGTATCCGCACCATGCCCCATCACAGCTTGGAATGTCTGGTTTACTGCATGGACTGTCACCACCGTCTCACCTGTTCATTGCGCGCAGTTCTTCTTCAAAGATGGCATTAACGATCATGGGATCATTCCGGGAAGAGCATCGTACACTATTGACGTTCCCTGAATACACATGGCTCCATTACATATTGATGACTTCGATTAGAATGGCTGTTGTATTGTGGATGACGAATCTTCGCCTGATTCGCGTTCGAATGTGACACAAGCACCAGGGAAGCACGTTCAAGTTCTTCGAAACAACCCGTGCAACGTTCTGCATGATGAGCGCCCTACAACCCTTTGGCCATGTAACATATTAAGCACTGTCATGTGCCCCGCAGGTACTGGGAAATGGCCAAGAATCAAACTCGCATCTTCGTGTAACACCGCTCTGGAATAGATAAGGCAATATCCGCAGACTCATATTTTTTCCTTTCTACGGGCAGGAACCCCGTTACTGTGTGCTGCTTCTTACAGGACCCTCATTCGATAGCACATACCACCGTGGAACGAGAAATATGCCTGCGCATAGTGAACAGGACAGACAATCTTGACATCAGCGGGTCACATCTTCCAGGCAGTGATATGTCCTTACCTGAAATGGAATTTGTCCCCCGAAATACTCTAAAAGTGCAAACTTCTTATTGATGCCCTTGCACAGAAGTGAATATGTTCTTTCAAGTGAGAATCGCTATGATACTTTGATCTCAGCTCCCCAAACATGTCAGACGCTGGCAGACCTGGGGGTGACACAGACAGGAAAATATTTCGTGGATCCTGACGGGGTGTCAATCGGCGATGCACCCATCAAAGTGCTCTGTGACATGGAGACAGGTCGGTCAAATAAACAATTGGTCCGCCGGTCGTACTGATACTTCAATGATGATGCTTCATTTGTTCAGGTTCATGCTATCTCAACTATGCTTCTTCTAGATCCAGTATCCACGATCGTTCTCCACGATTCGATGGCCGATACGATGATCGATCCCTGTGCTGGTCCTGGCTGCTACCGTCGGAAAATCAAGTACGATGCGTCGCTCAAACAGATGGTGGCTTTGATCAATCAGTCGACGCATTGCAGTCAGGAAATAAGGGTGAATTTACACTGTCTCAGCATTTCAAAATTAATTGTATACCTAGTGTAAATCAGTGTTCTCGTGCAATAATTAAGTTAAAAATTCGGCTGCAGGTTTCTGAGAACTGTGCCTTATATTTACTCTACTTCCAGTTCGACTGCTTATCAACGGCCTTGAGTATTGGAGAAAGGCGGCAGGCATGGTGGGTGGACCGACACGGGAATCCTCAGGATTACTGGGATGGGTCAAACGGAGAAAAACACGTATGCAGATGTGGTCTCTCCAACAACTGTACGGACAAAGCACTGTCGTGCAACTGCGACGCAAAAGCCCCACAATGGGAGTCTGACTCGGGAGCGATCATCAACCGAACTTCCCTCCCCTTAACTGAGCTGCGATTCGGGGGATTACAATTTGCGGGTCAGAAGGCGAAATACACTCTGGGCGGATTAGCTTGTAGAGGCAAGGCTTCTTCGTCGTCGGAGAACCCAGCGGAATCGTGCTCATCTCTCCGCCGAACTGGAAACACTCGTTCGGGTTATTACCTGATCCAGAAAAAAAACGGACGATTGGACGTCGTCCTCTGTCGGATGGACTTTGAGGACTCCGATGCGGGATTCCAGCTGGATACAGGTGCCCGAATCATTGTGAAAGGAGTCTATTTTGATGCCTACCTCACAAGTCACTTGCACAAAGAAGGAGTAATTACCTTCAGTGGGACCGTGGTGAACATAGGCAACGGAATGGTTTCGAGCACCGGGATTTTCACCGCACCCCTAGACGGAATTTATGCCTTCCATTTTCATTATCTGGGTTATGGCGATGTAAGCACCCGGGTAGATCTCAGACGAAACCGAGTGATCAAAGGAGCTATGGTTGCGAGACCCAATGAAAGCGAAATCCCGAGCCAAGCGATCTTCCTCAGTCTCAATTTGGGCGACGAAATAGACGTATATTTGAGCTTTGGAAAAGTTTATTCAGACCTCTCTCGTTGGGTCCATTTTGTCGGATATTTGTTGCATCCCACGTAGGACGAAGAATGGAACAATGCTATTTGCTATGTTGCAATATGTTATCTATTCGTTTTCCACAGTAACTGCAGGAAAAACCGTTTTCGAAAATACACTTCCATGTGCATCATTTTGTCAGATGCCACATATTTCGAAGCCCCTTTCTGCATGCAATTATTAACGTCCCAATTAGGAGCGAAAAAAAGTAAAACATCGTAAGTCAACCCATGCACTATGGTGCATGGTCCAGCTATCTTTGGTCGACTCGTCTTAAGGAGGTCGAGAGGAAGGGAATAAGAGCTTGGAGAGAAGAACAGCTTATGGGGTTGGGCGGAGATCAAGTAGAGATTTGTGCGTGAAACGATTTTTCTCTGTCCCTGATGTGTTTTTTCCAGCACCATTGTGTTCCACTACATGTCTCCGCCTTCCAGCCAGAAAATGGATTCTGCCGTGGTAGAACGATGGAGGCTGCGACTCAAGGAACTGTCGCAAGTAGCATTCGAGGTCTTTCTGGTCGTGAAACTTTTTCTCTTTGAGGCGGTTCTGCAGGGCGTGGAAAAGGTAGTAGTTCGACGGAGCAAGGTCCTGGTAGTATGATGGGTGCGGCAGAATCTCCCATCTGAGGGCGAGGAGTTTGAGCTGGGCATCGTCGTGGAGGAAAAGCACTTTGTCACGTCCCGGCCGAGCCGTTAAGAGCTTCTGGCTCAATCTCTCCGGTTGGTCGCAGTAGTAGGCCGCCGTGATGGTGGTGTCGGGAGGAAGCAGCTCGAACATCACCCACACCACACCAACACCTTTCACGTTCCACCATACGCAGAGCATCACCTTGCGGGGGTGCAGGTCACCTTTCTGCTCTGGCTGCGGCTCTTCATCGGCTTCTACCCACTGACGCTTATGGGTATGGTTCGCGTACATCACCCACTTCTCATCCCCCGTGACAACGTCGTCGAGCCAGTCGAAGCGCCTTCGGCGGGAGAGGACAAGTGCACAGGGTTCTAACGCTGGTCGAGCTCCTTCTGTGTCGAAGCATGGGGTATCCAACTCCAGAGCTTCGAGACCTTCCCGATCGTGGACAGGTGGTGTTCGATGGTGGAGTGGAAGCACCCGTGGACGGCGGCCATGTCGCGAGTAGTCATGCGGGGATCGACTTCCAGGAGTTGTAGTGGCGCCGCATCATCCAACTCCGACGGGCTTCCCAACCTCGGCTTGTCTTCGGCACTATAGTTTCCGAACTTGAAGCGAGCGAACCGATTGAAGCTCGTCTTCTCGCTGATGACTCCTTCCCCAAACGCCTGGCACAGACGGCGATGGGCGTCGACTGCCTTCTCTCCCAGACGGAACTCATCGAGGAAGCAGGTGCAGAGGTGGTCGAACTTCTGGCTCATACTTGGCGGTGAGGGATCGAAAGCACACTGAACCTGGACGCAAGAAGGGAAACTATTTATAGGCGAAGCGGGTAAATTCTAGAAAATTCTTGAGCCTTCCTAATGAGAAAAGGCGAAAACTGCAAGAACTTTCCGGGCAACCCAATAATTAACTACCTAAAACAAACAGATAGAAAGAGTGAAAAAACCTGCGTCTGAAACCGCCCAAGGAAGTTTCAACTCTACAGTTCTACCTTTTTCGTGTGCATGAACATTCACCTTTAAAAACAGAACGAAACTCTCGTGGAACTGGAAGTTGGCTCCCTCTGATCCCGGAAGGACGAGTCGCACTCGCAGATCATGCACACACAGGCACACGCCATGGGTCGACCGTACTTAAAATGCAATCCGCCGGCGGGGCTTCCCATATTTCAACAATTCTAACACGAATTTCTGTTATGATTTCATGGCATCCTACCACGAAAAATTCCCAAACTCCATACATCAGGTCTTTTCCTTCTTGGAACGTCGCCGTCACCGAGTGACGGAATGGGGCAGGTATTTCATTACTCCCATGTATTTCCCCACTTGCTTTACAATAAATCATGCACATTTGCTAACCCGTCCTTAACACTTTCGCTGCCATACGACCCGCCGGCCGGTCGTACGTTCTCTTTTCTCCTGGGTCATACGAGCCGCCGGCGGGTCGTGCAGGTCCTTTCTACCAGATCATACGACCTGCGACGGGTGGTTTGCATTGCTTTGCGTGATACGATCTATTGACCTCTTCCTTTCATCTTTCGAATTTTATCGTCGCCTTCTGATGAGGTCAATTTTAAATCAAATTGGCGGTGTTTCCCTTCTCATTTCTCATTTACAATGTATTCAATATAAGTATATCTCCGTATAAGGGTAAAGTGAAAATTACTTTTTCTTCCTTTCTGCGCATAGGGCATATTACGGGAGTCTTTATATATAGTACAGTGTGTACGTGGACATATCAAAAAGGTCCAGAACCGGTTTTCATATGAGCAAACTATGTGCAGACGCTCTGTTTCAGAATGATCCCTTTTGGAATGCATGGATAACAAGAAACGAATGCAACTTGAAAGTTTTCTATAGAATCCATACCTTGTAATTCATTGGTCTGAAAATTTAATGGAACGTTGGCAACAATGCTTTCCTAGAGCTCTTGAAATTATATGAATTTATAGATACCCATTCATGAGTATCACATTAGCACATTTTTTGAGATGGCAAAGAAAGGGCATGCGACTGCCATTGCGAGGCACGAATCCAAATTGCATGAGGATCCCTAAAAATGCATGCAGATGCATGAACTTTTTATGGATGAGTACACAATTTTGACAAAGTTCTATTAATTTTTTCGCGAGGATCATCCCAGAGGAACTGATCCAGTAGGCAAAAATTAAATGCTGATTCGTACCTCCCCATTGGCAGTCACATGCCTGTTCACTCAGAAAATTTGACCGATTCGAT